ATTCACCATGTTGGACGGGTGACATGATCTTCCTGGGAGAACACTGTGTTCCCTCATTCAGCGCACTTTGTGAATCTTCAGTGATAACACTGATAGCTGCCGCCGGGCTCAGGCGAACGCACGCTGTGTAATTAGCGCAATGTACCAAAGCGGGAAGACATTAGCCGCTCGTGGTATTAGCGGTCTGTACAGCAAATTAACGAGCAGCGAGCCGTTCCAGCCTAATGTTCCGTCATCCACAGATGAGGGATTCGCGTCCCGTCACTAACCACATTCCCGGGACTGTCATCATCAGAAGGTAGACTTTATAATGAGCCGCAGACCTTCGCGCACACACGCCAGACACAGGTCTTAAAGCAAACGTTTCCACGGTGAATACACCGATAAGGAAGACCTCCGGGGAGATCAATTCTGAAGAGGAGGTCAGTGGACGTCGTTGTCTTCATGGAGGTGTACGAGGGTGTCCCGAATTTCCAGCATGCTGCATAGTGCAGGGAAGAGAATCATCCAGGCAGCACAGAGTGAGAAGAGGGTTCCAAGCACCACATAGGTAAGAGCGCCGACCTGCACGGTACTTACCTCCGACAAAGCTTTAGAAGTAAACTTGCCGAGGTTCAAACTAAGAAATGTACTAAGCACCTCAGAACCCCCAAAATGTGAGATCCTCAAATGGAAATGTCATCATTGTTGGAAAATGTTTCATGATGGCTCACGCCCTCCCTCCACGACTTATTGGACGATGGCTCACGCCCTCCCTCCATGACTTATTGGACGATGGCTCACGCCCTCCCTCCACGACTTATTGGACGGTGGCTCACGCCCTCCCTCCATGACTTATTGGACGATGGCTCACGCCCTCCCTCCACGACTTATTGGACGGTGGCTCACGCCCTCCCTCCATGACTTATTGGACGATGGCTCACTCCCTCTCTCCACGACTTATTGGACGATGGCACACGCCCTCCCTCCATGACTTGTTGGACGATGGCTCACGCCATCCATGACTTATTGGACGATGGCTCACCCCCCCCCTCCATGACTTGTTGGACGATGGCTCACCCCCTCCCTCCATGACTTATTGGACGATGGCTCACTCCCTCTCTCCACGACTTATTGGACGATGGCACACGCCCTCCCTCCATGACTTGTTGGACGATGGCTCACGCCATCCATGACTTATTGGACGATGGCTCACGCCCTCCCTCCATGACTTATTAGACGATGGCTCACCCCCTCCCTCCATGACTTATTAGACGATGGCTCACGCCCTCCCTCCATGACTTGTTTGACGATGGCTCACGCCCTCCCTCCATGACTTGTTTGACGATGGCTCACGTTCTCCCTCCATGACTTGTTGGACGATGGCTCACGTTCTCCCTCCATGACTTATTGGACGATAGCTCACACCCTCCATGACTTATTGGACGATAGCTCACACCCTCCATGACTTATTGGACGATAGCTCACACCCTCCATGACTTATTGGACGATAGCTCACACCCTCCATGACTTATTGGACGATAGCTCACACCCTCCATGACTTATTGGACGATAGCTCACACCCTCCATGACTTATTGGACGATAGCTCACACCCTCCATGACTTATTGGACGATAGCTCACACCCTCCATGACTTATTGGACGATAGCTCACACCCTCCATGACTTATTGGACGATAGCTCACACCCTCCATGACTTATTGGACGATAGCTCACACCCTCCATGACTTATTGGACGATAGCTCACACCCTCCATGACTTATTGGACGATAGCTCACACCCTCCATGACTTATTGGACGATAGCTCACACCCTCCATGACTTATTGGACGATAGCTCACACCCTCCATGACTTATTGGACGATAGCTCACACCCTCCATGACTTATTGGACGATAGCTCACACCCTCCATGACTTATTGGACGATAGCTCACACCCTCCATGACTTATTGGACGATAGCTCACACCCTCCATGACTTATTGGACGATAGCTCACACCCTCCATGACTTATTGGACGATAGCTCACACCCTCCATGACTTATTGGACGATAGCTCACACCCTCCATGACTTATTGGACGATAGCTCACACCCTCCATGACTTATTGGACGATAGCTCACACCCTCCATGACTTATTGGACGATAGCTCACACCCTCCATGACTTATTGGACGATAGCTCACACCCTCCATGACTTATTGGACGATAGCTCACACCCTCCATGACTTATTGGACGATAGCTCACACCCTCCATGACTTATTGGACGATAGCTCACACCCTCCATGACTTATTGGACGATAGCTCACACCCTCCATGACTTATTGGACGATAGCTCACACCCTCCATGACTTATTGGACGATAGCTCACACCCTCCATGACTTATTGGACGATAGCTCACACCCTCCATGACTTATTGGACGATAGCTCACACCCTCCATGACTTATTGGACGATAGCTCACACCCTCCATGACTTATTGGACGATAGCTCACACCCTCCATGACTTATTGGACGATAGCTCACACCCTCCATGACTTATTGGACGATAGCTCACACCCTCCATGACTTATTGGACGATAGCTCACACCCTCCATGACTTATTGGACGATAGCTCACACCCTCCATGACTTATTGGACGATAGCTCACACCCTCCATGACTTATTGGACGATAGCTCACACCCTCCATGACTTATTGGACGATAGCTCACACCCTCCATGACTTATTGGACGATAGCTCACACCCTCCATGACTTATTGGACGATAGCTCACACCCTCCATGACTTATTGGACGATAGCTCACACCCTCCATGACTTATTGGACGATAGCTCACACCCTCCATGACTTATTGGACGATAGCTCACACCCTCCATGACTTATTGGACGATAGCTCACACCCTCCATGACTTATTGGACGATAGCTCACACCCTCCATGACTTATTGGACGATAGCTCACACCCTCCATGACTTATTGGACGATAGCTCACACCCTCCATGACTTATTGGACGATAGCTCACACCCTCCATGACTTATTGGACGATAGCTCACACCCTCCATGACTTATTGGACGATAGCTCACACCCTCCATGACTTATTGGACGATAGCTCACACCCTCCATGACTTATTGGACGATAGCTCACACCCTCCATGACTTATTGGACGATAGCTCACACCCTCCATGACTTATTGGACGATAGCTCACACCCTCCATGACTTATTGGACGATAGCTCACACCCTCCATGACTTATTGGACGATAGCTCACACCCTCCATGACTTATTGGACGATAGCTCACACCCTCCATGACTTATTGGACGATAGCTCACACCCTCCATGACTTATTGGACGATAGCTCACACCCTCCATGACTTATTGGACGATAGCTCACACCCTCCATGACTTATTGGACGATAGCTCACACCCTCCATGACTTATTGGACGATAGCTCACACCCTCCATGACTTATTGGACGATAGCTCACACCCTCCATGACTTATTGGACGATAGCTCACACCCTCCATGACTTATTGGACGATAGCTCACACCCTCCATGACTTATTGGACGATAGCTCACACCCTCCATGACTTATTGGACGATAGCTCACACCCTCCATGACTTATTGGACGATAGCTCACACCCTCCATGACTTATTGGACGATAGCTCACACCCTCCATGACTTATTGGACGATAGCTCACACCCTCCATGACTTATTGGACGATAGCTCACACCCTCCATGACTTATTGGACGATAGCTCACACCCTCCATGACTTATTGGACGATAGCTCACACCCTCCATGACTTATTGGACGATAGCTCACACCCTCCATGACTTATTGGACGATAGCTCACACCCTCCATGACTTATTGGACGATAGCTCACACCCTCCATGACTTATTGGACGATAGCTCACACCCTCCATGACTTATTGGACGATAGCTCACACCCTCCATGACTTATTGGACGATAGCTCACACCCTCCATGACTTATTGGACGATAGCTCACACCCTCCATGACTTATTGGACGATAGCTCACACCCTCCATGACTTATTGGACGATGGCTCACGCCATCCATGACTTATTGGACGATGGCTCACATCCTCCCCTCCATGACTTGCTCACGTTCTCCCTCCATGACTTGTTGGACGATGGCTCACGTTCTCCCTCCATGACTTATTGGACGATAGCTCACACCCTCCATGACTTATTGGACGATGGCTCACGCCCTCCATGACTTATTGGACGATGGCTCACACCCTCCCTCCATGACTTATTGGACGATGGCTCATGCCCTCCCTCCATGACTTATTGGACGATGGCTCACGCCATCCATGACTTATTGGACGATGGCTCACGCCCTCCCTCCATGACTTATTGGACGATGGCTCACACCCTCCATGACTTATTGGACGATGGCTCACCCCCTCCTTCCATGACTTATTGGACGATGGCTCACGCCCTCCCTCCATGACTTATTGGACGATGGCTCACCCCCTCCTTCCATGACTTATTGGACGATGGCTCACGCCTTCCATGACTTATTTAATGATGAGGCTTCCCAAAGAAATAAACAACACGAAGTTGCCGGAGGCAGAAGGGGGCACAAGGATCCCGGGGCATCCAGAAAGTAGAAGTAGTTCACAAGCAACTCAGGAGGCCCAGAAACCCGGGTCACCCATTCACACCTTCATGTTGGTTCTCCAACTTGATTGGCTGTCTTGGTGTGAGGGGGGGGGCCATGAACCATACTGCAACGTTTACCAAATAACAGTGAGATCTGTATTTTAGGGCGCACCATATTTTGGGGTTCCTATGGGAATGAATCTAGGAACTTTCAGGCACCTGAGGAGTCTCCGCACCTCATTCACAGACATAGAGGATCCTTTCACAATGCAGCCGTGATGTGTACACTTGTGTGGTGCGGTTAATGTTGCTGTGGGTGCGGAGCTGGGTAGTGACAACCAGCACACAGTCATTTATAAAGAATATACGTACTCGTCCCGTAAATCAAATTCGGCATTCTCCGGGGAGATGTCACCGGTCACCGGGTGTCTGAAGGTCGTCGTCCTCTGGTTGTGGCTGCAGAGAGAAGAAAATCAGAGACAGTCAATGACCATTGTGGGCGCTTCCAACACACAAATCTGGAGGGACCCCATCGAATGATCCTCCCGGAACCCAGCCAGTCAGGGGCCACATGGTACCCATCACAGGTCAGCTCAGTCAGGGGCCACATAGCGCCCAACACAGCTAAGCCCAGTCAAGGGCCACATAGTACCCATCACTGGTCAGCCCAGTCAGGGGCCACATAGTGCCCATCACAGCTCAGCCCAGTCAGGGGCCACATAGTGCCCAACACAGCTAAGCCCAGTCAAGGGCCACATAGTACCCATCACTGGTCAGCCCAGTCAGGGGCCACATAGTGCCCATCACAGGTCAGCCCAGTCAGGGGCCACATATTGCCCATCACAGGTCAGCCCAGTCAGGGGCCACATAGTGCCCATCACTGGTCAGCCCAGTCAGGGGCCACATAGTGCCCATCACAGGTCAGCCCAGTCAGGGGCCACATAGTGCCCATCACAGGTTTGTCCCCCCAGTATAAAGGACACGAGGGCCCATCACCTCCTGCCTTATGGCTCAGCACACTATACAGAGATTCAGGACATTCTCACTTCTTGAGCTCCAAAGCAGGGCATAGCTGTTATTTGGGTACAGGTTCCCGGAGCTCAGTGTCTGCATTGTACCAAGGAAAGGCCACAGCATGTAACCCGTCACACATTCCATATAAACTTCTGCAAGGGACAGGTTCTTTTTAAAGAGACGCCCTGTGGCCACAATACAGATTTCTGGTCCTATTATAATAATAGTGGACCACCGTGTCACAGTGACCC